TGAATCCAGAATCTGTTATGTTTTTTAATTTAATATATGTAGATTCTCATTTTAATCAACATTAAAAATAATCCTAACCTTTCAGATAGGATATTAATTATAAGGAAAATGTGTTTGACCCATCTAATTATTTGTCTCTGCTTAAATTTTTTTTTAGGTACCACCAAAAAGCAGATGCACTCTATGTTGGTTTGGATCTACAGAATACAGTTAACAATTTTCTTTTCATGAACAAGCCTACCACGTACTTAAAATGCTGCTTCAATATGGCAACTATTTTTTGGAGCTGGTTCTTTATTGGCTCGGGCATTTTGATAGTTTTGCGAGAAAGAGAAAAAAATGATCTACACAAATTTGACATCAATTGCTTCCTTTTTACGCAAGCAGACTCAGTCTGCCAGGAATGTGACAATAAATATATTATAGCAATAATATCAGAAATTACCTACTATCTATTCAGAGACAAAGGAAGAGTGGTTTATAAAGTATTTGATAATAATAATAGATTATATGAGGAGGGGATGGAATGCAAGATAATTGACATGGAACGGGGAAGGTCAGGGAAAGGGAGAGTATTTATATTTTTTCAAAAAACATGAGTTTGCATTTAAGAATGTCTAGGATTGTCTTGAAGGTCCTGGAAAGTTTTGGCCACTGATGGTTTTGTCTCTCGACATTCCAAAACATTCCAGTAGTTGGGGTTTTATGCTCATGACCAAAGTGATAAGTACCTGTTTTATGACCCAGTCGCCATTTCTTTAATTGCACTAACCAGTAGTACCAATTTAACCTAAGGAAGAAAACAGAGTGAAGATCTATTAGAAAAACCAGAAAGGTTAACTCATCAGTGAAACCCAGGAGACTAGTGCAATGTAGGAGGATTATTTAATTCATAGCATCAGAGTTCTTTTATTTCTACCTCTAAGAATATATACTCCCATCTCGTTATTTCTTCAGGGTTATGTTTCTGTCAAATATCTCAAACAGGTATCGTGCATAAAGTATTGACAAGGATGATTATTTGACATAAAATGAGTAGTAACTTGTAAGATTTAGTAAACATTGAATAATATGATTGTTTACGGAACCTTTCTGGTTTGACACAGGCGGAAAATTGCGTTGGAAAAAATGTACTAAATGATCGAGAAAAAGTTCGTTAAGGTTAAGTCAGACAGGAAGCTAGAATAATATTGAGAGACAGATTAATGATAGTCCTGAGAATAAATTCGTCCGCGGGCAATTCATAATTATATGACTTGTGGTACAAGGTTTTACAGGGTGTTTCATAGCGGACGAGTAAAACTTAATACTATTGAAAACAAAGTTTTAAGATGATCAAAATCTAGATTAAGTCCTGGGGATAACAAACTGGTAGAGAATGTTGGTAGCAGTCTAACTTCTTATTTTATTTATAATCAAAAAGCACTAACCATCCGTGAAAAAACCATTACATTCTTGGAGAAATTAATTCTTAGAAATCTACCAAAGAAAAAACGCTCCACAAGAGTAAAACAGCATAAGACTCGTAAATCATCAACTGGAAACACAAACATTAATCATTAATGATCTAACAAACCCAAACAAAATTACCAATGTCTCAAAATGTTCCTCAGCCAAACAAAAATTAAAATATAATTTTATAAACAAATACCAGGTTTTAACGGACTGACATTCACTCTTGTACTATCGGTCACACAAAACAAAATACTCCCTGGCAAACGGCCGAAAATGTAGGCTAAAAAGAAAAAGACAATTTTTTTTTGAAAAACACCAGCCAAAATTCTGGTCAAAAATCCAAATGTTTTTTCCCTATGCAGACATTGAACCGAAAATCCAGGCTAAGCTGTGGGTAGTGCACATAGACGTTAAAAATTTTCTATGATGTTTTTTGTGTGCAAAGTTAGGATTAAAAAAGAGTTTGAAGGTTGTAATAGATTGAGGGGTATCTGGATTAACCCAAAGTACAATAAAAATGATAACCCACCTTTGAAAAACCTATGCTAGATTGATATTTGTGTGGTAAGTCACCATGAAAAAGGTCTAGCCAATCTTTGAAGGCTGACTGAGCTTGAACACTTGGCAAATTGTGTAACTTTGTGCCCGGAAATGAATTCAGCAAGTTTCCAGCTTTCGAAAACTGTAAGGTATGTATGGGTAACTCTGTCTAGATATTGCAAGCCGAAAGTTTTAAGCATCTATATGTGTTTCAGGAGTAGAGGTGGATATACTGGTGTTTTAAGCTGTCACAGAAACTGTCACAAATATGTTTGATCGAAGATTGTGAACGAACGCTTGGAAGGTTATGTACTTTTTTTTTTTTAAATATGTTTAATTTTTTCTGAAATTTCTGAAAATGTGACTGAAAGTATAGCATTCCTGTCCAGATTTTACACCAGAGTAATTTTAATATTTTTTCATGCACTTTTGGCGTAGAGCCCAAGATATTTGTTCTTTAAACAAATATTGTGAACGAACGCTTGGAAGGTTATGTACTTTTTTTTTTTTAAATGTATTCAGTTTTTTCTGAATTTTCCGAAAATGTAATTTAAATTGTACTATCTCTGTCCAGATTTCGGACCACAGTTATTTTAATATTTTTTCAAGCATCTTTGGCTGTGGGCCAAAGGTATAGGTCCTTTAACCAAAGATTGTGAACGAACCCTTGGCAGGTTATGTACTTTTTTTCTTTTAAATGTATTCAGTTTTTTCTGTATTTTCTGAAAATGTAATTGAAAGTATAGCATTCCTGTCCAGATTTCAGACCAGAGTTATTTTAATATTTTTTCATGCACCTGTGGCCTACAGCCTACAGCCAAATATATTGAACTTTAACCAATGATTGTGAACGAACGCTTGGCAGGTTATACACTTTTTTTTTCATTAATCGACTCCAAATTTCCAGGGCTTTCCAAAAAGCTAATAATATTTGGATGGTTAAATCTCAAAAAAGTTGTACTATGCAGACATTGAACCGAAAATCCAGGCTAAGCTGTGGGTAGTGCACATAGACGTTAAAAATTTTCTATGATGTTTTTTGTGTGCAAAGTTAGGATTAAAAAGAGTTTGAAGGTTGTAATAGATTGAGGGGTATCTGGATTAACCCAAAGTACAATAAAAATGATAACCCACCTTTGAAAAACCTATGCTAGATTGATATTTGTGTGGTAAGTCACCATGAAAAAGGTCTAGCCAATCTTTGAAGGCTGACTGAGCTTGAACACTTGGCAAATTGTGTAACTTTGTGCCCGGAAATGAATTCAGCAAGTTTCCAGCTTTCGAAAACTGTAAGGTATGTATGGGTAACTCTGTCTAGATATTGCAAGCCGAAAGTTTTAAGCATCTATATGTGTTTCAGGAGTAGAGGTGGATATACTGGTGTTTTAAGCTGTCACAGAAACTGTCACAAATATGTTTGATCGAAGATTGTGAACGAACGCTTGGAAGGTTATGTACTTTTTTTTTTTTAAATATGTTTAATTTTTTCTGAAATTTCTGAAAATGTGACTGAAAGTATAGCATTCCTGTCCAGATTTTACACCAGAGTAATTTTAATATTTTTTCATGCACTTTTGGCGTAGAGCCCAAGATATTTGTTCTTTAAACAAATATTGTGAACGAACGCTTGGAAGGTTATGTACTTTTTTTTTTTAAATGTATTCAGTTTTTTCTGAATTTTCCGAAAATGTAATTTAAATTGTACTATCTCTGTCCAGATTTCGGACCACAGTTATTTTAATATTTTTTCAAGCATCTTTGGCTGTGGGCCAAAGGTATAGGTCCTTTAACCAAAGATTGTGAACGAACCCTTGGCAGGTTATGTACTTTTTTTCTTTTAAATGTATTCAGTTTTTTCTGTATTTTCTGAAAATGTAATTGAAAGTATAGCATTCCTGTCCAGATTTCAGACCAGAGTTATTTTAATATTTTTTCATGCACCTGTGGCCTACAGCCTACAGCCAAATATATTGAACTTTAACCAATGATTGTGAACGAACGCTTGGCAGGTTATACACTTTTTTTTTCATTAATCGACTCCAAATTTCCAGGGCTTTCCAAAAAGCTAATAATATTTGGATGGTTAAATCTCAAAAAAGTTGTACTATGCAGACATTGAACCGAAAATCCAGGCTAAGCTGTGGGTAGTGCACATAGACGTTAAAAATTTTCTATGATGTTTTTTGTGTGCAAAGTTAGGATTAAAAAAGAGTTTGAAGGTTGTAATAGATTGAGGGGTATCTGGATTAACCCAAAGTACAATAAAAATGATAACCCACCTTTGAAAAACCTATGCTAGATTGATATTTGTGTGGTAAGTCACCATGAAAAAGGTCTAGCCAATCTTTGAAGGCTGACTGAGCTTGAACACTTGGCAAATTGTGTAACTTTGTGCCCGGAAATGAATTCAGCAAGTTTCCAGCTTTCGAAAACTGTAAGGTATGTATGGGTAACTCTGTCTAGATATTGCAAGCCGAAAGTTTTAAGCATCTATATGTGTTTCAGGAGTAGAGGTGGATATACTGGTGTTTTAAGCTGTCACAGAAACTGTCACAAATATGTTTGATCGAAGATTGTGAACGAACGCTTGGTAAGGTTACGTATTCTGGTTATTAGAATAGTGTAATTTTGGTACTTCGTTGAAATTTCTAAAATGAACGGAAGATATAGCATTCTACAAATTGAAACCAAAAATGTTAAATGTCACACTTGTTGGCGTAGTGCCAATATTTGTTTAAAGAACAAATAATCTTGGTGCTCTACGCCAAAAAGTGCATGAAAAAATATTTCAAATTTACTCTGGTGTAAAATCTGGACAGGACATGCTTATACTTTTCAGTCAATTGTCAGGGAAATTCCAGAACAAATTAAACATATTTAAAAAAAAAAAGTACATAACCTTCCAATGGAGTTCGTTCACAATCTTCGATCAAACATATTTGTGACAGTTTCTGTGGACAGCTTAAAACCCAGTATATCCACCTCTACTCCTGAAACACATATAGATGCTTAAAACTTTCGGCTTGCAATATCTAGACAGAGTTACCCATACATACCTTACAGTTTTCGAAAGCTGGAAACTTGCTGAATTCATTTCCGGCACAAAGTTACACAATTTGCCAAGTGTTCAAGCTCAGTCAGCCTTCAAAGATTGGCTAGACCTTTTTCATGGTGACTTACCACACAAATATCAATCTAGCATAGGTTTTTCAAAGGTGGGTTATCATTTTTATTGTACTTTGGGTTAATCCAGATACCCCTCAATCTATTACAACCTTCAAACTCTTTTTTAATCCTAACTTTGCACACAAAAAACATCATAGAAAATTTTTAACGTCTATGTGCACTACCCACAGCTTAGCCTGGATTTTCGGTTCAATGTCTGCATAGTACAACTTTTTTGAGATTTAACCATCCAAATATTATTAGCTTTTTGGAAAGCCCTGGAAATTTGGAGTCGATTAATGAAAAAAAAAGTGTATAACCTGCCAAGCGTTCGTTCACAATCATTGGTTAAAGTTCAATATATTTGGCTGTAGGCTGTAGGCCACAGGTGCATGAAAAAATATTAAAATAACTCTGGTCTGAAATCTGGACAGGAATGCTATACTTTCAATTACATTTTCAGAAAATACAGAAAAAACTGAATACATTTAAAAGAAAAAAAGTACATAACCTGCCAAGGGTTCGTTCACAATCTTTGGTTAAAGGACCTATACCTTTGGCCCACAGCCAAAGATGCTTGAAAAAATATTAAAATAACTGTGGTCCGAAATCTGGACAGAGATAGTACAATTTAAATTACATTTTCGGAAAATTCAGAAAAAACTGAATACATTTAAAAAAAAAAAAGTACATAACCTTCCAAGCGTTCGTTCACAATATTTGTTTAAAGAACAAATATCTTGGGCTCTACGCCAAAAGTGCATGAAAAAATATTAAAATTACTCTGGTGTAAAATCTGGACAGGAATGCTATACTTTCAGTCACATTTTCAGAAATTTCAGAAAAATTAAACATATTTAAAAAAAAAAAGTACATAACCTTCCAAGCGTTCGTTCACAATCTTCGATCAAACATATTTGTGACAGTTTCTGTGACAGCTTAAAACACCAGTATATCCACCTCTACTCCTGAAACACATATAGATGCTTAAAACTTTCGGCTTGCAATATCTAGACAGAGTTACCCATACATACCTTACAGTTTTCGAAAGCTGGAAACTTGCTGAATTCATTTCCGGGCACAAAGTTACACAATTTGCCAAGTGTTCAAGCTCAGTCAGCCTTCAAAGATTGGCTAGACCTTTTTCATGGTGACTTACCACACAAATATCAATCTAGCATAGGTTTTTCAAAGGTGGGTTATCATTTTTATTGTACTTTGGGTTAATCCAGATACCCCTCAATCTATTACAACCTTCAAACTCTTTTTTAATCCTAACTTTGCACACAAAAAACATCATAGAAAATTTTTAACGTCTATGTGCACTACCCACAGCTTAGCCTGGATTTTCGGTTCAATGTCTGCATAGTACAACTTTTTTGAGATTTAACCATCCAAATATTATTAGCTTTTTGGAAAGCCCTGGAAATTTGGAGTCGATTAATGAAAAAAAAAGTGTATAACCTGCCAAGCGTTCGTTCACAATCATTGGTTAAAGTTCAATATATTTGGCTGTAGGCTGTAGGCCACAGGTGCATGAAAAAATATTAAAATAACTCTGGTCTGAAATCTGGACAGGAATGCTATACTTTCAATTACATTTTCAGAAAATACAGAAAAAACTGAATACATTTAAAAGAAAAAAAGTACATAACCTGCCAAGGGTTCGTTCACAATCTTTGGTTAAAGGACCTATACCTTTGGCCCACAGCCAAAGATGCTTGAAAAAATATTAAAATAACTGTGGTCCGAAATCTGGACAGAGATAGTACAATTTAAATTACATTTTCGGAAATTCAGAAAAAACTGAATACATTTAAAAAAAAAAAGTACATAACCTTCCAAGCGTTCGTTCACAATATTTGTTTAAAGAACAAATATCTTGGGCTCT